TAAAGGTTATTTACTCTACTTGTTGGTGTAGGATAGTGTCTCTGCTGTTTAGACTTTTGTGTTTGTGGTACCAGTTGGTATCAGATAATGTCTCTGCTATTTGGGCTTCATGCCATTTAGATCTTGTCAGGGTCATTTGTAGTACCAAGTGGTATGAGATAAGATTGTAAGGCTAGTGTCTCATCCCCTCCTTTTAGAGAATTTAATTTGAGAATATTAGTTTGCACAAATTTTGTCTTTGCTTTAGGTTTTGTTTTTGTTTCTGGTTTGAAATGAACAGCTCAGTCTCAGTCCCCAAATATTTTGCTAAACCTCTGGTAAATGGAATGAGATCTGCAATGCTGTTACATCATAAGGATTCTACTCAGAAAGAATTTAAATGCATTGTTTAAAGAGAGGACAACATCTCGCTCCCCTCTCAGACAGTAAAAAGCTCAGAAAGAAAAACAATGAGAAAATGTGCCTTTTAAACACTCTGAATACTCCTTCTGGAGGCCCAGGAACTGCTTCAGTCCTGGGGACAGGCCATGCCATGCCTGATGTCTCCTCCCTCCCTCTTCTTCAGCCTCCCTAAAGTTGTCAAGGGCACTAGATAATGAGACAGCTTAATTTTGAGCACACTCAAGGAATGCAGTAATCACCAGGAATAAAAAAATGTAAATCTATTCACCAGTGGGGAAAGTACTGTTTCTGAAAGTTATGAAAAGTGTTCATAAATTTTTCAATCTAAAGCATGTTAATTATTTACTGTTAGTTGTAGCTAAATGTTGAGGATTTTAATTAAATTGGGAAAATATATGATTTTAGTGATGAAAAGGTATGAATTATAGCATCACATCTTGAAAAAATATAATTGAATGTGGATTATTCTAAAGTTGGTTATGTCTGGGTGTGTTAAAAGGGCAAACTAAAATGGGCTAGAAGAGTTGAATAAAAATTATGTAAATTGTAGAGTTCTGTCTACGGTGAAGAGGGTCTGTGTAAGTCACAGATGTTATATACAAATTGAAGGAGGATTTTATAAGGGGAAAAAAGAAAAAAGGGAATTGAGAAAGGAAAAGAAAGAAAAAGGAATAAATTTTAAAAAGCAAAGGATTGTGAAGGAAAAAGGTAAGAAGGAATAAAGGGAAAAGATATATGCCACATTCATGTGTAGCATGGGAAGTAAAGACATTGGAATCAATGCCTAAAGAAAGGAAGTAGAAGCCAAAAAAATAAGAAGGAAAATAAAACATCTAAATCTTTTCTAAAATTTTATTTTAATCATTGTTCAAGCACATTTTTCTCCCTTTTACTCCCATTCCAGCCCACTCACCCATTCCTCCCCACCTCCCTCCCATTTCCACCCCCCCCTTGTTTTTGTCCATGTGTCTTTTATATTTGTTCCTGTAAACCCTTCCCATTCTCCCCTGAAATTCCCTCTCCTCCTTCCTCTGGTCATTGTCAGCCTGTCCTCTATTTCAATGTCTTTGGCTATATTTTGCTTGTTTCTTTGTTTTGTTGTTTAAAACACTTCTCCGGTGTTTTAAAGGACATACAGAGGATCTAGAGACACATGAAAAGATGTTCAATATCGCTAGCTATCAGAGAGATGCAAATTAAAACCACAGTGAGATACCACTTCACACCAGTCAGAATGGCCATCATAAATAAAGCAACAAACAAGTGTTGGAGAGGTTGTGGAGAAAAAGGGACCCTAGTGCACTGTTGGTGGGAATGCAGAACTGGTACAACCACTGTGGAAAGCAGTATGGAACTTCCTCAGAAAACTAAAAATGGATTTGCCTTTTGACCCAGCAATTCCACTCCTGGGACTATATCATAAGAACCCTGAAACACCAATCCAAAAGAATCTATGCACCCCAATGTTCATAGCAGCACAATTTACAATAGCTAAGTGCTGGAAGCAACCTAGGTGCCCATCAGTAAATGAATGGATCAAAAAACTATGGTACATTTACACAATGGAATTCTATGCAGCAGAAAGAAAGAAGGAACTCCTACCCTTTGCACAGCATGGATAAAGCTGGAGAGCATTATGCTAAGCAAAATAAGCCAGGCAGTTAAAGACAAGTACCATATAATCTCACCTTTAACAGGAACCTAAACATCCAAGTCTTTGAAACACTGCAAATTCTAAACCTAGGTGCTACCAGGTCCAGAGATCAATAGAGCAGTTAACTCACTGCTTAAATTCATTACAACTTGCAGAAACAGCAGGGTGCCTGTCTTTCTAAGCAAAGGGAAAAAGTGACACATTTATTTTTTAATTACTTTATTATTGTTCAATTTCAGTTGTCTGCATTTTCTCCCCCCCTACCCACCCCCCTGCCAAACCTACCTCCCTCCCCTGCTTCCACCATCCCCCTTGGTTTTGTCCATGTGTCCTTTATAGTAGTTCCTAAAAGCCTTTCTCCCCATTGACCTCTTATTCCTCCCTTCTGGCCACTGTTAGATTGTTCCTAATTTCAATGTTTCTGGTTCTGTTTTGTTTGCTTTTTTCTTTCGTTGATTATGTTCCAGCTAAGGGTGAGCTCATATGGTATTTGTCCTTAACCACTGAGTGTTCAAAAAACTATGGTACATTTACACAATGGGATTCTACACAGTGGAGAGAAAGAAAAAGCTTATATCTTTTGCAACAGCATGGATGGAACTGGAGAGCAATATGCTAAGTGAAAAAAAGTGACACTTCTAAAACTCAGGTTGTTTTTTAGCCACCCTTTGGAACTTCATTCACACTGTTCCCTGTCCATTGCAAACTGAGCAGCCAAGGTTTAAGGGCTGAAAGCCAATAGAAGAAGAGCCCTCGGAGGATGGTGAGGATCAGACTTCCAGGGCTAAACAGGAAAAAGTAATGAGAAAAAGTGAAAGAACTGCTAGGGTCCATAGCTAATGGCTATCACATGACCCCATGGGATTGGAAAGTTCCAATAAAAACCTTGGTAATACCAGCTTACTAATTTATTTGCTACTTTAAAAGGAAACACTGAATTAACCTTACTGAGGTGTCTCTCCCCACTAACCTAAGCTGAGCTAAGTCTTGTCAATCAAACAATTCAAACTAAACAGTTAATTCCCAAATTTGAAATCATTGAATGACTTTTCCTCCCTTACCAACCACAAAGGAACTGTTGATTTCATAATTTGGGAAAGAAGGTAGGCTTTTGTCTCCTCTCCAGAAGGACCCTTTGAGCTGCAGGCAAAGAGGGTGAAACCATATCGTAAAAAAGGCTACCCTTCTCTGTGATCCACCTCTATTCCATCAGAAATCCCCATTCCAGGAAGAAATAGTGTGTATGAAGAAGATGATCTTGTCACCCACGAACAACTCAGTTGTGATCCGGGCATCTTTAAGCTGTGTGTCACTCCTCTGAAGTGGAACTACAGTCAGCACTCATGAGGAGGTCCAATATGAGTTGCAAAGGGCCTTTTCCTCTGATTTTAAAGGACAAATCCATCAACTCCAGCTTGAGCTATGTTAATAACTTCAGGGCATTAGAGGATTTACTGAAGAGGAGGTCTTTCAGACCCTGCTGGACAACTCACAATGGCTCAAACCAAAGACTTGGTGTGAAGGACTAAATTTATGTGTCTGGGTCATGGGGGATATAGGATGCCTCCTAATCATTGTAGTCTTTTGTGCCTTGAAATGCATATGCAAATTGTCTTCCAGGGATCATATAATTGCTTTCCAGAAAAGCAAGTAGCAGGCTTCATTGAACTTACCACCCTGACCACCATAACAAACAAAAAAGGGAGGATGTTGAGGACTACTCTATGTGGTTTAAGAGACTGTAGACCCACTAGAGCAGGCCTTGAAAGAGGCCAATAAGTCTCACTGGAAAATCAGGAAACCCAGGTGGCAGACACAACCCAACTCTAACACCGAGGGTTCTATGGGAATCAGGACTAATATATACATTGTATCCTTTGAAGCTTGTGCTGCTTTGCTTTGTATAGCCCTGTTGGTGTAAACTGGATGTTTAAGCTCAAGGCATAAGGGGTAAACACCTTATTTCATGAATACATCTTAAAGATCATCTGTCATCAACATGTCTCAGAGACCCTGACCTATGACAAATCTCTGTGTTCCTTCAATTGCTATCTATAGATAATACCTGTTTTTGTATGACTATATCCTTTTTATGTTGACTGAAGCACTGTGCATGTATTCTGTATACTCCTACACATACCATTCCCAATAAAAGCCATTTGGGAGAAGGGCTTGGGACATTCCCCACTAGAGGGAATCACCACTCCCTTTCCCACCAGAGCAACAAGATTGTGTCTGAGATGATTTATTCTCATCCACAGTGGCTGGGACAGCTCTGCCAGACAGGACTTCTCCCACAGTTATGGGCCTCTTCAGAGAACATAAGAGGATGTTCCTTTCAATTATGCAGCTCCTTGTGTAGATGGCCTGATAAGTGCACATGGAGGACAGAGCCTTCAGTAACCCACTTCCCTTCCCTGTGATTAGGAATGACCCACTACCAAATACCACCCACTGTGAGCCTAGCCCAGAGATATGGAAATTACCTGCATTCTTATGAGTGAAATGAAAGAGGAGCATGAATTGGAGAATAAAGAAACAAATAGATGGATGGATGGGTGGGTGGGTAGATGGATGGATGGATGGGTGGACGGATGGATGGATGGATGGATGGACTGACAAATGAATGAACAAATAAGAATACAAACCAACCACTGGGGCTCTACAAAAACCACATGAACTGGGCAGCTTGATTTACTCAACACTCTGCACCTATAGCCAAAGCAAGAACAATAATAATGATAAGTTCTCCACCACGTTTCACTGTCAGAGACTTCCCTGGAAAATAAATAATCCAGGAGAACACAAAACTGACAGGGATCCTGAAAGTGCTCTGAGATGCCTTTAATCCCCTTGGTGCTTCAAAGACCTAAATACAGACAAATTGCCACTCTCTAGAGGAAAACAATCTTCTCTTGTGAGAAGCCAGGAGCTCCTTCCCCACCTATTTCTGCACACAGGTGCTGTTCAGAAGGGTGAACTTGGAAATCCATGGTTGGGCATCCACAACAAAAGTGCAGTCCACCTGAAAAATGTAATTGCAAGACACAAATTCAGAACACGGTAACACATGAGAGCACTTAGCATGAAAAAATTATTGGAAGCTCAAGATGCACTTAAAACTACAAAAGGAATAAAAGCAAAAACCATGGTCTGAGTAGGGCTTATAAAGCTCAAGGCTCCACCAGGATGATAGGCAGAGGTTACCTGAGTCTGCTCATTTGAGCCCAGGGGCTCCTGAAAGGATGCCTGATGGAGCCAACACCTGACTCTGAGGGATCTCCCAGTGCACATGATGATGCATGAATGGCCCCTGCCCTGTCACTCTGCTCATGAGGTGACCCACATAGACATCTACTCACCCAGCAGAAATTGCAAACCCACCCCAAGTGGACACTGCTCCCAAGACTGGAGTAGAAGGGGGAGACCAGCCCGATTGATGGTGTAACCCTAACTGAAGCCCATCCCCAAGGTCTGAGTCCCATGGAACAGATGTCATCTCATAGGATGGCGAACAAGAGCTTGGACTGATGGAGAATGTCCTTGCATCCCAGGATACTAGAGGGAGAGGTGGGATGACCAGACTAAAGAGTCTAGGATCCAGAAGAATACAAGCAAAGAAATAGTGAGGACCACAGGCATCAGAGCACCTGCCTGAAGCCCAAGGTCCAGGAAACACTGAGGCTGGGACCCAAGGGTAGGACTCCATTCAGGGATGAAAGTCAGTTGGGTGTTATCAAGGTTTCCTTAGTCAGCCAGGCTGGAAGTATAGGGATCAGCTCACTGCTCTGCTGGGAGGAGCTCTACTTAGAATGACCACCTTCTCCCCTCTAGTTAGGAGCCCTGTGACTTGGTGGGAGAGGGTTCAGGACCCTCATTCTACCCCAAGAGTGTCCCTGAGATATAGGGGGAAAGGGTCTAGGACTCTCAGTCTACCCAAGGAGTGTTCCTGAAGACTTTCTTAAGCCTTCTCTCATAGACCTTCTTTGATATTATTTTTCATTCTCAGAAGGTTCTTGATTGTTTGGTTGGTTGTTTTTATTTCAAACCTTTTTCTTGCTTGAGCCTTCTTGCAAGGGGCAGTTGTCAATGTCTTCATCATGTTTTTTACAAATTGTGCGGCCCATCTCCAAGTCCATTAAATAAATCCAAGTAAACTGCTGTCAAGAAGAAATTATAGAAACCACTATCAAATACTTACTTTGAACTGAGTAAAACAAAGACAATCGAACAGAAAAGTAGGCAAAAGCTGTGAATGTGCAAATGTATGCCTATAAGTGACAATACCTATAGGTGAACTTTTTCTTATTTTGTAATTTTTTGATTTATTTATTTCACTCATTCCTTAATATTCTCTATTTCTTTTACAAAAGATGTCCATGCATGTAATCAAAACTAGAATCTCCCCTGCTACACTTCTCCTGATGGTTGATATTGGGTCATAATATCAAGAGTGCCATGAACAGGGAGTGGGGGACACATTCATAGGATTGAAAGTTCAACAACAATGAGCCTGCATATGCTCCAGCCACATCTGACACATGACCCGTCTATCAATCTTATGCCTGAGCACAGTCAGACACCAGGAGAACACATAGAATTATTGCTTCTATAGAGAGTAGAATAATAAGCATGCTTCTCTTCTGACTAGAATCAAGGCTGCACTATTCCTTTAGGGGGCTGGAAACACTCTGTCTCTTTCTGCAGAAGCTCTCTGCACAGAAGAGTTATCTTGCAGATATTCATTGAGGTGATATTTATGAATCAGGTGCTGTATGTATGCTTATTAGGCTTCTATAAGAAATTTTTAAAGTTATGATTTCATTTTCTTAAGAAGAGGTCCATGAAAACTAGGGAAGAACTCAAACACAGAGAAATCTAGCCAAAAATTATTGCAGGTAAGAACATGCCTCTCTCACTGGACTGACATGGAATTGTTTAGAAAGCTAATTTGTTTGGGGCTCAAGAATCTCTGCAACTGATAGGACACCCACTTGTCCCTGGCCACACACCAACAACACACTCAGACACACAGACACTCATGCACATTCAGGCCCTTTGAACAGTCATCAGACCCTGAGCTAGGAAAGGGTTCAGAGTCTGGGGCAGGAGCAGTAGTGTTGTTGTCCAAAGGGTCTGTGTGGCCTCCCCAGGTGCAAGGCTGAGATGCAACACAAGAAAAGAGGCTGATGTCAGGAAATGGAAAAGACTGAGGGAAGCCAGTGCCCCTGTGCAGGTGAGGTCCACCCTCCTGCTCATCTCTTCCAGACTGTGGTCAGTGGTGGGACCCTGCACATCAAATCCCCACCAACATGGCACCTGGCCCAGAGCTATTCATGAGGAACAAGAATCTGGGCATGGACAGAGTGACTCAAGGACAACATTATTCAATTCAAATGAAGCAGGAAATGGTAAGAATAAACATCAGTGGGAAGGTTTGCATAAACAAGACCCTAATGACACCTGTATTGCTTTCAGGCCCAACCTCTTCCTACCTTTAATGCCCTATAACCTACCGCCTCCTTGACCTTCGATAACTGGGTCAGGAACACTAAATGTCATATGTTCTGGCTAGATTTTTCCATGTCTTCCTGCAACCTTACCACATTATTTTTTCAGTGTTAGAGTTACTGCCTACCCATGTGCTCAAAGGCTAAAACTTTGGGTCCGCCACTGACCCCACTGTTTCTCCCATATCCCACATCAGTGCACCCCACACCCACCATTAAGCAGACCCAGAAGCAAGCACTTCTACCTCCTGGCAAGCAGGAGACCATACTGACTCATGGTCTCAGCTTGCCAACAGGCTGTGGAACCCACTATGCCCACAGCATCCAGAGAGATATTGCTAAATCATCTGAAGGACTTCTTCTCATGGGTTTCCATTATTCTGAGAATAATGTCCCAAGTCCTGACCTGTGGCTCTAAAAGTGTCCCACCCCCACCTCCCTCTGCATACTTAATTTATATGACACAGGTCTAGAAACTTTTAGGTCATTCACTAGGACACCTGAGACTTGTCCTTGTTCAGAGACCTTTTTGTGGCTGCCTGCCCTACTTGTGCCTAAACCTCTACCATGTGACCAGGTTCTTCCAGGAGTGCCCATCACAGAGGGGCCCTTTCTGACCTCCCTTGCCCCATATACATTGCCTCCCCATGGCCCTGGGTCCCTGCATTGACAACTCTTATCTCATCCTTCCACTATTTCACCAGCATAACAGTCCCATGAGAACACTCTTCTGCCACCTCCCACCATACCTGAACCCACGGTGGCTGTGAGCTCAAGGCCTGCTGACATCGAACAGGAAATATCTCAGCATGCTGCTCACTGATCAGCACAGTGAGGTTCCCAGAAGTCTGGCCAAAGCCTGAAGTCAGGCATGCCTGTGATACCTTTCCATCTTGGTTTTTGGTTTTCAGCTACCACTTCTCTTTGTCTTTCTCATTACCTGTCAGTCTCTGCTGTCGTTGCTTCTCTCAGCTACCTTACTTGAGAGATTGCTTTTCTCTCCCTCACATTGCAGATGAATCTGACACTAGTGTTTTCTTTTCTGTTATCTTCCTCCCTTCTCTACCTTGTTTTTCAGGGGCTTCACTTACTAAGTAAACAAAATAGAAACTTAAAGCACTTGTAATAATACCTTATATTGTTAAAAAATATTTACTGAAAATAACAAAAGGTCCTTTTTTGTGAAGACAAAGGATTCTCCCCCCACCACTATGCAACACAGGCCAGGTTTGAGGGCCAAATAAAGCCTCAAGGATGGGGAGGAACATTTACCTTGTGCTGGCTTCTCCCCACCCACAGCAGCTTGTAAGCATACTCATCCATGTGGGCTTGGTTGAACTGAAACATAGCGAATTCCACACACATTGCAAAGAAATGCGTGTTCTTATTAATATCCACAAAGCCAGAACTGCAGACAGGAGGCCCCAGTAAAAAGAGCTCCAGGAGCAGAGGCACCTTCAGGAACATGCTGTATGGTGTCAGTCCTAGAGTTCAGCAGCACACAAGTGTTGGGTAGCAGCTGCTGTGGACCTTCCTCCATAGCTATAATCCCACGCAGCTCTGTCCTTCAGAATCCTGAGCTTCTGATTGACATCTTGTCCAGCTCCTCCTCCCCACTTCCTGCCTTGTCATTAAAAAACAGAAGGCAGAACATTTTTCAACCTGTTGTTACATAAGCATTGGTCCCAGGGACATTCATCCCACATGATCTATTTCTTGAACATTTCCAGGGCTGCCTCCTCCTGCCTTAGCCCAGGCATAATAGGGCCTGGGTGAGGGTCTTAAACCCACCTTGCTTGCCCTCACAGCAATGTAGCCTGGGCATAGCAGAGTCACAGGAATCCTTAGAAATACTGATGAGCCCTGGGTCATGAGGATTTGATCTAAACACCAGGTCAACCTCTGACCTTCAGTGTAGCCCACAACCTCAAGAAGTATCAGAAGGGTCAGTGAGTGGTCAGTATCTGGGTTGGGACACAATATTCTACACTACTTCTGGCACCAGAGGACCTGATTGCCATGAGGCTTGCCCATGCCTGACAGTGAAGAGAAGGATTTTTATTATTCTGGGATGGGCCTACCCCCAAAATGGCTACCCCACTGTGAGCATGGTCAAAAATATGTAAACAGAGGGGGCACAGATGGCTTTTCCTTAGAAAAATTGTCTGCATTCCTATGAGTAAAATGGAAGAGGGGCATGAATTAGAGAGTAAATAAGCAAATAGATGGATGGATGGGTGGGTGGGTAGATGGATGGATGGATGGGTGGATGGGTCAGCCTTAGTCAGCCAGGCTGGAAGTATAGGGATCAGCTCACTGCTCTGCTCGGAGGAGCTCTACTTAGAATGACCACCTTCTCCCCTCTAGTTAGGAGCTCTATGACTTTGTTTGGGACCCTCATTATATGCCAGGAGTGTTCCTAAAGACTTTTCTAAGTTTCCTCCCACTGCATAGATTCTTTGCAAGATAATAGAAAATATATAAATTGGTTTCTGCCCCCTTATTGTTGGCACAGAGCTCTTAGGTCTCTCATAAGTTCCTAAGTTATAAGAATGCTAGGAGCATTTTTGTTCCATTGAGGTGGCTCTGTGAGGACTCCTGGATAAGGGTTGGTCACCAAAAAGAACAAGAAATTATCAGAACTATCAGAAATTATCAGAACTGTTTCTTGAACATTTCCAGGGCTGCCTCTAAAAACTGGAATTTTTAGCCCTGCCACTCCTATCCTCTAGATAGGGAAAAGGAACTGGAAATAGACTTAATAATCAATCATGCCTATATGATGAAGCCTCCATAAAATCCCCAAAATATAGAATTTAGGGAGCTTCCAGGTGGGTGAACACATCCATGTACTGGGTGGGGTGGAGGGGTGAAGCACCTGTGTGGGTAGCTCAAGTCTGGCCCCTCCACAACCTCAGAGAGCATTTGACTGCCTAGCCAGCAACCATAAGGAGGAAGGAAAATAGTTTGTATCTGGATTTCCATCCTTATCAAGGCCCCTGCATATATCACAATCTTGCAGCATTTTCATACACTACCAGGGCTCCCTCCCTAACCCAATAAGTAGTACAAAGACTAGAGGTGGGGTACAGCATTTCATCCTGATTCACTGCCACTGATATATTCCCCTACAACATGAATAATAAATGGTATGTCCACATCTGCTTGTCCTCTGGGTAGTTTTATATTTTTTTCAGAATATCACACACACAAAAAAGTGCAGCTTCCCAGCTTGGACCTCCTGCATTACAGCCCCTTAACTGCATGGGAAGAGAAGATTCTGCTTTCTGGATCTCCCCACACCTATCCCTATATATCTCTTCACCTGGACATTCCTTTGTATTCATCATATCCATATAATCATAATTTAAGTGTTTCCTGAGTTCTGTGAGCTGCTCCAGCAAATTAACTGAACACAAAGAGGTGATTGTGGGAACCTCAGATTTGTAGCCAAATCAGACAGAAGTAATGAGCAACCTGGGGATCTACTCTCTGTAATTTGCATTTGAAATTGGGAGGTAGTAGTCTTGTGTGACTGACCACTTAACCTGTGAAATTTTGCACTATCTCCAAGTAGATAGCATCAAAGAATTGCTAGTGTTTGGTGACCACAAGTAATAGGATTATTATTGTTTTAAATTCTCAGAAGGTTCATGTTGCTTTGGGGTTGATTTTACTCTCAAAGCTTTTTCTCATGGGGAGTTTTTAATATCTCCATTATATTTTTTTACAAATTATGCAGCCAGTCTATGTCCATTTAAAATATCATTGTCCACTTCTATCCAGAAGAAATTGTAAAACATCTACTAAATATCTTCTTTTAATTAAGGGAAAGGAAAAAAGCGGAGCATCAAGTTGACAAGTGAGAAAATGATTAGAATGTGCCTATAGGTGATAGAGGCATATGTACACATGGTTTGCCTCCTCACACAACCACATCAGAATTACAACTAAACTACAGAACAGCCTGGCTGGTGTGGTTCAGTGGATTCAGTGCTGGTTTGTGAATCAAAGGGTCACCAGTTGGATTCCCAGTCAAGGTATATGCCTGGGTTGCAGGCCAAGTCCCCAGTAGGGGGCACATGAGAGGCAACCACACATTGATGTTTCTCTCCCATTCTTTCTCCCTCCCTTCCCCTATCTTGAAAAATAAATAAATAAAACCCTTTTAAAAAATCCTATAAAGTACAGAACAACAATCACTCAGAATCATTTGAAATCAAGTTGAATGGGAGTGCAACAGCTACAAAAGTAAAGAAACTGGAGTTGGAAGATGTCAGCAAGGTAGATAGGAGCAGAGACCACTTCCCCCTGCACACAAGTGGAACACCTAGCCAATCTTCTGAGGAACAGAGTAAACAGACAGTGGAATCCCAGCATATATGAAAGATGGAGACCAAAATTATAGACAACATTGAAAAACATGGTAAAGAGATTGTGTTGGGACAGTAAGGTCCCTGGGACCAGTGCAAGGACCAGGGCTGCTGCAAGTCTCTGCCTGATGCCTCCCAGCACCTGCCACAGGATCCTTGGATGATAACCAAATCAACAGCTATCTCCCCTGACAAACAGGAAGGAAAGAGTGTCACCAGAATGGACTTAGATGCTTGAAGTTGCTGAGGAGAATAAAGATGAAGTGCGAGATGCACAGGGTGGTGTTCACCCACTCAGACTGTAGATGCCAGTTGGTCATTACCAGAGACATTGGGGAGCCAGGTGACTCCTGGAGAAGGGAGAAGAGTTGGGCCGTTATGGACCCTGACCTGGATCTGGATAGTCTCCAGTCTGGTTGGAAAGTTGAGCTGTGTGAGAGGCTGGGAACTTGTTAAGAGTGGCAGGATTGAAAAAGAATATGTTATTCAAAAAAAAAAAAAGAAGCAGCTCATGGTTGCCCTTCAGGCAACTTTCCCACAGCAGCCAACCCCACCACCCTGGCTACATCCCCTGTCATGGCTGTGCCACTGCCCCTGCTCCTGCCGCAGCAGCATCCACACCCTGAGCTGTGCTCCTACCATTGCCATCCTTTAGCCCAGCTGTCTCACTAAGAGGAAGGAGGAGAGACCCGCCACAGAGAGCAGCAGGGCTCAGGAAGTCAGCAGTCCCCAGAAAGACTTAACTCAGTGGGGAAGCTAACTACCTTCAAGAGACTTTGAGAGTGTCCAGGACATAGGAGACCAAAGAAAGAGAAAGTGTGTGTGAGTTTCCCCTAATTAGTGCACCTCAAGGACAGCACAAGTGGTGGATTGAAGGCACCAGCCTGGTACAGATGGGCAGTGGGGTCCTGGCAGTGAACAGAGGACCTGAGTTGGAGGCTGGGAAACTATGAAAATTGCAGCCCAGACCTGGCCCCGATCCTCCCAAAATCATAGGAAGGGAGAAAAGTGAACCCCAGCCTGCCTCAGCCTGCATAATCCAAGAAGACCAGCAGAACTCACTTGGCAGTTTAAAGTCAGCAGGAGGCTTTTTTTTTCTTTTTTTTTTTTCCCCAAGTGAGAAAGTAAGATCTGGAGCTATGAAAGGTCCAGAGATAGACCCAAAGAGGGAATACAAGGCTAATCACCAAAACTGAGAAACTGGGACAAATTTTACTTTGCTATTCCAGAGAATTGCATGTTGTTTATTTGTATTATTATTATTTCGTTCTATTTATTTCTTTTATTTTATTATTTTTTATTTCTCTTCTTTCTTTTTTGTTTTCTTCATTTTATTTGTTTGTTTAATTACATTGTTTGACTGTTTTTTCTTGTTCTCTCTTTCATAGTTTATTTTTTCTTCTTTCACTTCACTTATGTTCCAATAGCACACTACTCTAGGTTGTGTACTTTCTATTCTTATTATTCACATCATAAAGCTCCTGTCATATGATTTTTGTTCCAGTACTATTGTAAATAATTGTTGTTCCATACACTTGTAAATGCTACATAGCAACCCTCCCAGATCTTAGCCCATTTCACTATCTTCCAGAGCTTTATTACTGTTGTGGTTAACTCTATTCTCTCACACACTATGCTTACTTTCTATCCTTTAGTCTCACTATATCTAATAATGTGACTTTCCACAAGCTCTCTGTTTCCTGGATTCAACCCACAATCCTTCCCCCATCTAACAAGAGTCTTAACTCTTTTCTACACTTTCTAAAAAGTGGCTAGTTAGGTGAAATATCATGGTTAACACTATACTTATCCAAAGGTCCTCCTATCTCTCTGCCATATGTTGGTACATTAAATTCCATAACATACACTCAAGCTATCTTAATTCATTTTGCCTTCCCCCTCCAAATGATCACATAAAAGAGTACAAGGGAGCTGTGAACAACAATGTATGTGCTGGATAAGAAAACCCACCAGCAAAGGAACCACCAACAGATAATAAAGGAAGATGGAGGAGGAGTGGGTGGAAGCCACACTAACTTCCACCCAGGACCAATCTGGAACTACAACTAAACCATGGAAAAATTATTTGGACAAATAACTGAGCAATAGGAACAGAGAAGCCTC